GTGGATTTATTTTTTCATAATTATCAATCAAACTTTGTGCTTCATCAAATAAAAATAAACGACTCAAACAATCAACCTAAATAATTCAAGAAAATAGTAATAATTTATTCAGAAAACTAACAAACCATAGTTGTTATAATTTTTTCTGTTTTAATATGAATTTGATTGAAGATAATATGAGCTTCATCAAGAAGACCAGAATGAGAACAAGCATTTAAAACACATATATGTGAAATTTCATCTTGTTCATTATTTGGAATTCTTTTATATAATTCAACAGCTTCATAACCCATCCCATTAAGTCCATAAGCATTAACTACCAAAGAAGAAAAAAAAACACATAATTGAAATAAATTTCAAGAAACATAATTACACTCACTCATTGAACTATATATTATTATATTGTAATCAGTAATCGATTTGAAAACGTTTTGTGCTTTATCGATTCAACCGGCTTTGCCCTGTGTTTAAAGAAAATAAAATAAATTTGATGATTTCAATCCATACATATGAGATATATTATTAAAATAGTTTTCTCTCAAAAATATAAAGAGTTTTGCTCTTTATTAAGAAACATTTCGATAAGTCTTTGAATTTTAAAATATTTTTTTCAATGTAGAGAAGTTTTTTTTTTTTTATATCGAATGTTAAACTACAAGCAATATTGAATTTTTTCTTTCGTCTTTTATTCTTCGATATCATTACATCGTTGTAAATTCATGATTAACATAAACCGTCTAATGTTTATTTCAAATATTTTTTTCAAGTTCAAAAACAAAGTAGAAGTTCAATTTTTGTTCTTATTTTCTAAGTTTTACATTTTTTTCAATTTATCATAAAAAAAAAACAAGATGATAAATGTTTTAGATAGACGTTGGCGAGACTACTTTTCTTGATTTAAGTACGTAGAAACAGTTAACTCACTATAGAACTTAAAATTTTTCATTAACTTTCAGTTCTGTCAGATTTACCCGACTTGCTATACTTTGTTCATGTATCTTTTCCTGTGTATAGGTCTTGTGAAGTACTTTCATCCACTAGCATTAAGAATATTTGTATCCGCGTGCATAAATATGCTTCGTTTATTTTATAGATAGGCTGTGCACACATTTCGCGTACATGAATATCAACAGCTGAGTAGTCTGAATTTAGTTCCGAACGTTAAATGCAGATTGTTAAGACACTTCCTTAGAACGTTCTCTGCAACAAGATAACCGATCTCCAACTGAAGTTTCTAAGTTTTTTGTAACATCAATACTGATTTTTGATTGATATCCAGAGTTTCATTTAGTAATTTCTTTAGAGATCTCTATTCGATCCCTCAGGAATCTTTTATCAGATCCCAAAGGATCTTCAGAAATTTTTTTCAATCTATAGAATATTTAACGAAGCACTAATAAAAAAAAAATTTCTTAGATCCTAATGGAAATCATTTTGAGATTCACACAGAAAGAATAGTAAATTCTTGTCGAATCCTTAAAGACTTCTCGAAGATTTTCTTATCATACAGCATTTCAACAACTCTAATTGTTGGTCAAACTTTTGGAGAACACTGTAGAATCTCGTAGAGATTAACAATTGAAAACTAAAATATTCAAATCATAAATTTTAAGAATTGAACAGTTGAAATTCAAAACTTATGAGAACTTCTCGAGTTGTGTATCTATAGAAGTATATTTTTTCAATTGAAATACTGAAAAATTAAAACGGTTGCTTAGTTGAAAAACATCGTTGTTCCAAAAAAAAAATGTTCTTACCCACATGTTGATCAATGCATTCTGTATAGCTTGTTGGTTTTGTATATGTATGGGAATTCGATCAACAATAGATTTACATTTTTCAACAAATCCAATTTGTGCACATGCACCAATAGGGTCTACGAATGATGCGCACGACGAAAGTTGCGCACGGAACGGAAAATGAGGGTTTCAAAGCAGAACGAACCGTTTCAAGTTCACTGCCTTCACCATCATCTTCGCCCTCACCCTCACTTACATCCGCACTTCACAGCCTCAGCCAGAGCCCTCAGAGTCTCCGTGCGCAAGTTTCGCCGTGCGCATCTTTCGGGATCCCGCACCAATAGCTACAGTGAAAATTCTCTCGTTGAACATCAAATCATTCAGTTCGATTTCATTGAAAATCTGCAAACATTTCAATGGTTCTTGATTTATTTTGTATCCATTTATCATTATAGTATAAGTGATAATATTTTTATCTCGAATTAATCGAAAAATACGTTCAGCATTCTTAACATCTCCAAATTTCATTAACATGTTTGTAGCTGAAGTTAATAGAAAATCATCATATTGATGATCATGAGTAAGAATTAATTCAAAAAGATTTTTTCCTATTTTTTTCGATCGATCATTTGCAAGTTGAGTACATATATTAAATACAATTGTGTAAGTTACATTGTTTGGTTTAAAACTCATCTGTTCATATAAATCTAAAGCTTTTTCATATTCTTCATTTTTCTCATATCCTAAATTCAATTGAATAAAATAAAAAAGAAACTGAATTGAATAATAAATTACCTTTTATCATTGCATTAAAACTATAAATATCTTTTTCTTTGATCAAAAAAAAAATACGTTCAGCTTCTTTAACATCATCAAATCTTGTTAACATTCGTATTGCTGAATTAAGTACAAGATTGTCATGCTGACCATTATTGAGTATCGTTTTAAGAAGTTTTTTTCCAACAACTCTTGATCGATCATTTGAAAGTTGAGTACAAGTATTAAACACAATCGTATGTATGACTTTGTTTCCTTTGAAATTCATCTTTTCATATAAATCTAAGGCTTTTTCATACTCTTGATTTTCTTGGTATCCTAAAACCGATTTAATGAAATACAAAAAAAAAAGAGAGCAACAAAATAATAAACTACCTTTTATCATTGCACCAAAACTATAGATATCTTTTTTTTTCTATTAAATCAAAAATATCTTCAGCATATTTAACATCATCAACATAAAAATATCGCTGAATTTAATTGAATATTATCAGAATGATTATTGTTCATTAGCTGTTGAAGAATCTTTTTGCCAATAGTTTTTGCTCTATCATTTGAAAGTTGTGCACAGGCATTAAATAAAGCAGTGATTGTAAAACGACCAGGTTGAATTTTCATATGATTAAATAAATCCAATACTTTCTCTGGTACTTTATTAGTAATTAGACCTGATTATTAATAAATATTTTATCATTAATAGATGAAAAATAAAATACTAACCTTGAAACATAACTGCATACAATGCATCTGATTTGTTAATAGTTTTCAAAAATAAATTATGAGCATGATCAATTTTATGAAATTGCACTAAGAAAAAAAATAATATCAAATGATTAATAAATATTTCATATCAATGTTGATTTAAGCGATGGCGAACAGTTAAAAATAGACTTCATTTCAAGAATTTCTATGCCATATAAATAATGCGTTGATCAATCATAGTGGCATAACTTACAAGGTAACGTCTTCAGATGCTAAAAAACTTCTCAGTTCAAATTTTACCTACAGACAGAGGATGTATAGACTAGAAAAACTTAGAAGCATCTGGGCCAAAGGTGTGATTTGGCTGAGATATTGACTTTCTACTACACTCTTACAGGATTCGACTTTTTCAGTAAAATCAAAGTTTCGAGTATTGACCTGAAATTATGCATTCATTAAGGTCTCAATCAAACCAACTTACCTACGAAGTTTCAGAATTTCTTAATGAATTGTCTTTGAGGTACCAATACGTTAGTTTAAAAATATTTTTTGTAGATATTGTATTATATACGAGTATTTTTCGAAAACCTATATCTCGTAGATAGTTCATTAAGAAATTCTGAAACTTCGTAGGTAAGCTGGTTTGATTGAGACCTTAATGAATGTAAAATTTCAGGTCAATACTCGAAACTTTGATTTTACTAAAAAAGTCGAATCCTAGAAAAAGAGTGTAGTAGAAAGTCGATATCTCAGCCAAGTCTCAATTTGAGACCATAAGCTTCTGGAGTTTTTTCTAGTCTATATATCCACTGCCCGTGGCAGAGGCGGTGCGAAGAGGTCAGAACAGGGCTGAGGTATCCAAAAACTAGAGAAAGTAGCCTAACATTTTTCTCAAAGTTTATAAAATTTGTCCGATTATATTTTTCCAAAATCGGAGAAAACTATTTAATAATCTCTCTAAATAGGAGAAAATCTGAGCCAGAATTCTCAAAGCAGAGGGTACCTTTCCCCACCTCCTGATCGCGCCGCCCCTAGTCTGTGAGTAAAATTTAAGCTGAAAAGCTTTTTCGCACCTGGATTGCTTCTCTCGTTCGACTATACTAGAAAATTATACTAGTTCGGAAAGCTTTCATCGAAATTAGATTAACTATAAACGAAAATTTAATCAACTCACCGTATCGTGTCAGTTATGGAAAATCAAGTCCTAAAATCCTTCATATTTATTGTTTAATCGTTGATCAGCGAGCACAGAGAAAAGTTTCGTTATTTCGAACATTGAAAAATGTATTCGAATCATACAAATGTTAAGAAAAATTGAGGATTGCTCTAGAGTCTTCTAAATCTCGTAATACTTTTATTCCTAATTACTAACGTCTTAAAAATGTCGGATGAAAGTGGCATAGATTTCATTTTACATTTCTATTCACTCATATTTGCTTACGGCTCTTTGCTAAAAAAAAACCAAATTAATTGAGGTAATTTTTTTTTGTTTTTAAGCTAATTTCAAATTTAATTCAATTGAATGAATTAAGTATAAGAAAAAGTCTGAATGAATTTATCTCGAGAAGTTTTCGTTTCAAAGTAAAAAATGTTGTTCAAATATTCTCTTCTCAAATCAGTAATTATTAGAAACTGCATCAATCATCGATTACACGTTTAACAGACCTGAAATTTTAAATACAATATTGACAAAACTAATCTCGACCTGATTTGAAAGTTTTCTATGGTTGTACTTCAACTCTCGATCAATTACATGATTGTCTATAGAAAAGTAAAACTTTTCTGTTTTCATTTTCTCTTTCATTCTTCTACATTATTGTTCGTTCAAATATTGTCTTCAAAAATCTTTGTTTTGACGTATTAAACTACTTTCTTGACAATAGACTCGAAGTATTTTTCAGATTATAAAAAGCTTAGACAAAAAAAAATATTTATTCGTTTATAATTCCAATATAAATAAACAAATCCTTCAACAAAACAAAATACTAAAACGAGACGAAAGACTAATAAAGTTCACTAAAGAAATTATTTTCTCAGATTTGAAAGACAAAATCTTCATATATAAAAATCTTCGATTGATTTTGTTTTTCATGCGTAAAAGATATTTTGTTTATATGATAGAGCGATATCGATATCAATGTTTTAATAATTTTCATAGATAAATGAATGACTCACTGTAAAAATGTATTGATGATGTTTGAATAGAAGGATCATTGCGTGATTTTGATGAAAATTCTTCTAGAATTTTAAATCTTGTTTGATAATCACGTAGTTTAGTAGAAGCTTTTATTACCATGTTTATTGTGAAATTTGTTGATATTTGAGATTGTTTATTAAAAAGATTCAAAGCTTTTTTATATTACTTTGAATCAATAAGTATCTTCATTGTTGAATTTAATTTATTTGATGATAATGATATTGAATACATTTTATTTCTTTTTGCATAGGAAATCAGTAAAGATTTATATCGATATAACAAATAGAATTTCTTGTTCAAAAACATATTTTATCTGAAAAAACGAATATTTAAATTTTTATATATTTATCAAAAAAAGAAAATCATCTATAAGATATTCATTTAATATTAATCATTGAAAACGAAATGTTTTTAGTTTATATTAATTTTTACATTTGAATACTATTTGAAGATGTGAATGTATAATTGTCTAAAGAGAATAGTTACATCTACACTTATTTTTCATGAATCAAATTTCGAATCGAAATCATTAATAAGATTTTTTTTTTTTTTGATCAAACGATTCTTTATGATTGAATTGTTTATTAACAAATAATTTTAATAAAAAATTTATATGAAAAATTATTTTCAAATTTACCTAATCCTTTTAAACAATAAATAAATTATTTATGTTTCATATTAATTCAATTTTCTAATGGTACATATGAAATTATTGTTGATTGAATATTTTTGCAATAAAAATTATTGATAAATAATTTTGAAATATTTTATAAATTAATAATAAAATATTTGAAAAAAAATTTTCATAGGAATTGTTTTTCAACAAAAAATTTTTTAATTATCATTGAATTCTTTTAATTTTTCATCAATTACATTTGAACATAAAATAATATCAATTAAATATTGTTTTAATTTTAATTATTATTATATCCAATATAAACATAATCTTCTAAATTATATTCATAAAGTAATATTGTACATCTATATTCATAAAAAAAATTTATTTGTTGAAATTATGATATTAGGAATATATAAACATTTCTTTTCAGAATATTTAACACGTATGATTTGATTAAAATTATTTAATTTCTTATTAATTCTTCATCTGATATATCTGATTTTAATAATATAAAATATAAATAAACTTGATAAAAACTATCGGTGCATAGAAACTAGAGTAATATTGTATTAGTACGTGGTCTTAGGCAAAAAAAGCAAGCGAGAAAGAACAACCAATGATGAAATGTATCACTAGTAGTGACATATTTGTGAGTGAGAGGATCAAGAGATAATTTTGTCATAGAAATTACTCATGACAAGTTCTCTTTAAAATTACATTTTTATTTTTTTTAAATGTGAGTCTTACACGAAAGATGAACGCCACATTACAATTCTTGAGCGTCATGATCGAGGTATCATTATGGTATCAAATTATATAATGGCGTTGTCTCAATAATGAGCGGTATGGATTATTTCAAAAAAATTTCCATCATCAGCATAACAGTTTACATGCAAGGCAGTTTTTAAATTTTCTATAGAATAAAGTTACATGCTGAACTGTTATTTGATTGTAATGCATGAATTTTTTTAAAAATTTTATTTATCAATTTATTTATTAAAATCAAAAGAATTATACAAAAAAAAATTATATAAACAAAGAAAAGAACGAACATTTATTTTTGAATATCCAAAAAAATGAAAAAAGTGTGATGTTCTAAAAAGAAAGAATATATAAAGATGAGAAAAGAATATTAATAATATATCCTTAACGTTCGCAGCACTTTCTTGTGTCATGCCTTGTCGACTTTTAGTTCTAGTTAATTTTATTTTCTGAGGTATTAATGTCACTGATTGAAAGAAAGTTCTTGAGGAAGAAATAGTATTATGAGAGGAGGCTTTTGATTAGAGTCCAGCGATTTCAAAAATTATCTGCCATTAGCACCACAGTTTTGGTTCTAGTTCTGATTAGTAAAACTTACGCAAAATGGTACTAATTTCAGTAGCTAAAAGTTGAAACCGTTCATCTAATGTTAAATACTAAGTAAGAAATTTTTTGCTTTTTTTTAAGGAAAATTTCAATGCTTTTCTTTAATAATCGTTTATGTTTCTTACTATAAGAAAACAATTTATTAAAATTGTGGATAAAATAAAATAAGAGAAATCATTTTTATATGAAATGATTATATGAAACCGTTTATTATATAAAAGCACTCTGAAATAAATTGGTGTCGTACTTTCCTTTGTCTTTCCTATGATTATCTTAAGAAAGACTTACTATAATCATCCACATTTTTTCGAACGCCTTCCTGTTGACTTAGGTAGAAGAAAAAGAAAACTATATTCAAACTTAATTGAAGTAACTGGCATGGTAATTTTATTTTCTCTGATGGACGTTCTCTACGTAGCTTTTCAAATAGTTATGTTCCATACATATTGAAGATGATTGATACAAATATGAAAATCCACAACCAATATTTTCTTGATCTAATGTATTGTTCTAATTAAACCAACAGGTAAAATTTGCTGATAAATTCTGAAGTAAAATCACTGACACTCAAGAATTAGTATTTCGTAATATTGGTTTATCTTCTAATTATTGCTGAAAGACTGGTTACACTCAGTTCACATCTATTTCTATTATGTTTGTCATTCAAATCAGTATCATGGATTAGAATTCGATTCAAGTAAAATGTTTGTGAATTCTAAAATCAAGCTAAAGGTTGTTGAACAGAATACTACTAGAAAAATTTACATTAAAATCATTTCTATTCTGGCAATTTGTCGAAGATCATTTACATAAAAGTATACAGAAGAAATTATAAATTTCTACTGCCATACATGCAACAATGACAGCTTCCTGTGCACTTCCCAAACACAGATAAGCGATCATCTGTTGAAAAATAATTAAGTGATAACCATTTCAAATGAGTTCATTACAATGTAACTTTTTTCCAAATAGCTTCGATCTTTTTACACACCATGCATTCTCGTGTTTTCTTAGGCATTTCTCTGTGAAATTAACAAAATGAAAGTAATATGTAAAAGAGGCAGTTTACTACAAATAGAGTATATACGAATACTCTTCTGCAAATTCATGATCAATTGTTCTTCTATCTTTTTCTGTGATGGTCATTGTCACATATGTCGTTTTGTTTGACATACAACATACGATCGTTTTGCTAATCGTAGCACACTTAAATATATGTCGTCGCATGAGCGTTTTAGTTTTGATGGGTGAGAAAGTTTTTTTTCTGCAGTCGATAAGTATTTAAAATGCACTAATTTTGTGGAAAATTTTAGCTCATAAAAGTGAGTCTCATCATAAAGTACATCAATGGATATCGATTTGTACATTGATTGGATGATTCATGTGTGTATGTCCACTAGTGCCCGACGTGACTACCAGTGAGTCACGGTCTTGACCGTGTGTGACTTTTTTCAAAGATCGTGATCGTGACTGGAGCTTGGTGACGGTCAGTCACGGGAACTTTTTCCGAAATTGTTGAAACCTCTGAGGAAGAGTAGGAAACCTTCGCGAAGATATCCATCGCTCCCCCCTATCATCGGCTTTTAAGAAAAATTGGGAAGTGTGTAGTATTCGTGATTTCGAAAGCTCCTCTAGAGGAACTTTCTCTGGGCTGCGATTCGACCTCTATTTCCTATAATTCCTGTATTTTTGAAAAAGTCCTATTTTTGTCCTATCTTTCAATAAAAACTCCTATTTTTCCTATATTTTATCGAAAAAAGGAGAAAATTTTCGAAAAACTAAGTTTTGCTTTTCTTCTAATATAGTCTTCAGACGTTGAACAACATATATAGTGTGTGGTCATATGTTTTGAACAAACTGCTACATTACGATGACATTTTTAAATAGTGTTGTTCAGTACTAAATGTGCTAGTGGTTTTTAGCTTTAAAGATTGGTTTTAACTGATTTTTGCCTTTTATGTTCCCTCAGCATAAGCTTTCCAATTGACATTGTTGTTCGAAAATTGATTAAGAAACACATGACACAATTAAAATTTATCTTTAGAATTTCAAAAATTAGACTTATATTGTATTCAATTAGTGTCACTTAAAAAGTATTTTTCAGTTGAAAACAAATGAAATTAAGTTAGATCTTTTCTATTTTCTTGTACGAAAAGAAATTAAGTCTTTATTGGGCGAGGCCGAGCAACAATTTTCGTGGTTTAGTATTTTTTTCTAAATTTTATGGACTGTGTTCTTTATGATGAGATGAGGACAGAGTTTTTCATCCTATTGTGTTTGTAATATTGTAGCACTTATTAATTGCTGATGTTCCTAGAAAAATGGCATTGGATCTGAATCAAATTCAAGAGAACAAAAGGTCCAGGAGATTTTGTAGTAGAGTAAATATGACCTTTGCATCAAGATGTGTCTTTTTTTAAAGAAATGTTGATCTATCATTTGTGACTTTCATACGACTTTACTCTAAATTTAATGCTGTACCGAATGGTATATTAAATAACTGAGATACTATCTTGATATTGTAGTCTCTGGCTCTTCTAAAAAATGCCAAAATTGAGAAGTTGCGAAATCAAGGAAAAGTTTAACCAATTCAGCTAAAAATTTCAGGAATGATTACTATTATTGTGTTGAGCGTATGCTAAAAGTTTCACATGGATGTAACTTCAGCTTCTAATTGGGCCGAATTGTCAAGAAAAGGTTCCCGGTCTTTTAACTCTTTGGTTACCGGCATAAGAAGGAAAACCCTGTTCTTTCAAAATTTTTTGTAACTTTTTTTCTGATCTGGTTTAACAGAATTTGACGAATATAACGTTAAATCTTTTTGTAAAATATGATATTCTTTGAAATAATCAGTAATACACAGACCAACGTCGCATGTGAGACATTGATAGCGTGTATCGCTTTGTGTTTCTTGTCACTTCGTTTAGTGTTGCCGAAAACATAACATCTTCGAGAAGTTTGACTGCTATCATTTAAAAGAATTAGAGGAGGAAAATGCCTGGCCGTCAGCCGTAACGTATGATGACTCAATGCTTTTTCAATATGTGTCCTGTTGGAGCCGTACTTTATCACTAGTCCTCAAATAACTTCCGGTTTGAATTTTGTAGTTGGA